ACTATGCTAGCGAAGTTTTCCTTCAGCTGCAGTTGATAGTCCGACAGTTCGTCATCATCTAAACTCGGAGGGTTGTCGATTTCAGATGAAGAGGTTGATTGAGACCAACGATTGCTGCTAGCTAGGAAAGGATACTTCTTAAACAAGTCATCAATCTTGGCCTTGACGTTCATAGAGAGTACACCGTCAATATACGAGATATCCATGCCCAGGAAGGAGTTAATGTTCTCATCCCATTGATGCTCTCCTTTGAATTTCTCTTGGAACAGTTTCCGCAGCTCCGCTATTTTGCTGACGTCAGTCCCCGTCACCAAGATGTCATCAACAAATACGGCACACGCAACCCATTTACCTTCATGGTGATGTATGTAGAGACTGGTATCATTCTTGCTGCGAATGAAGCCAGCTTCTAGTAGAACTGAGTTCAAAAGTTTATTCCATAACATAGGTGCCTGCTTAAGGCCATACAGGGATCTGAGCAATCGGATTCCCAGTTTGGAGTCTGGAAACTTGTCCTGTATGCTTTCTAGCAAGTCAGACCTAATGTCTACACCTTTAGGAAAGGAGATGAAAATTGGTCTATCAAGTTTGGTTTGGATAAAGGCCTGTGCTATGTCGCTATGGTGAATAGGTAGGTTGTGGTGAACAGCCAGTGCCATGAGTGTACGAGATGTAGTTAGAGAAGAGGAGGGACTGTACGTGGCGTAAAAATCAAGTCCTATCTTGGCGAGGAAGCCGCGCACCACGCACCTAGCCTTGAATTTGTCAAAGGAACCATCGCCTTTTCTCTTGACCTTGAGTACTATACGAGTGCTCAGGGGAGATCGCTCCTCTGGTATTACTTCCAAGCTAAAACAATCGTTCTTGCATAAGTCACTGAACTCCTTGATAATGGCCTTGAGAAATTCCTGTTTGTATTCAAGTCCATCTGAGGAGCTTAACTCAGCAATTCTCTCGGCGTCATATATGAGGTCCTCAGGAAGCAGCACGTACGGATTAGATGGGGAAGGTTGATCCTTCTCCACAACAACTTGGAGTGCTACGTCTATATGGCAGAACTTGTCTTGACAGTAGTGCAGCACATTTTCAGTTAGATCATCTTGTTTGGCAGTGAAATAGTTGCAACAGAGATGTTCAAGCGAATCTCCAGAACGACACAGAACGGTTGGGTATTGTTGGATGGTGTGATAAAGTCCCACGTTGGAGGTTCCCCAGAGAGTATGGGCAGCACAGGCAGTGTCTATGATTGAATTGGCTTCCTGGAAGGCAGCGTCAGTCCCAAGGAGTGGGAGGGAGAAATGAAGAATCA